TTCCTGCACACTGGTACTATATCATCATCCAACTCTTATTCGTATCTCAGCTATTGATCAAACACTGGTAAAAGCATTTGGCAACACCGTCTGAATTATTCAAGGGTGAGAAATACCTCTGGGTACCACCACCATCCTCAAAGCACCATAGTCCATCAAACAAGTGGCAAACTAAATTGAACCCTATGGAACACCACAAAACTATGACTGCTGAACAGAAAAATGATTATTCAAAAATACCCTCTCACAAAGAAGGCAGGCAGGAGAGGCTGCCTATTCCCATTATAAAAATTAACCATCACTAGTGATCAGTGGTATCAGGGCCACAGGGCAGCTTTAGCAGAGTAGGTGTGACCTTATCATCTTGACGCAATGTCTCATGACACTCCAAGTGGCAAGATTCAAAACCTCTGAGGTAAACCAGTGCATTTCAACCCAAACTCAAAGGCCATCTATCAGACAGCCATTGTCTGTAATGTTGGCATTACGTCTTTTTTTTTTTTCTTTAGTGTAACAGTGCTCTAAGCATACACAACTGTCAACAACTGCCGACAGTATCCTTCCCTCTTTTCCATGGCCTCATGAGGAAGTGCTGGCACTTAACATCCCTAGCTAGGCTGTAAAGATGTACCACTGATTCACTGAATAATACTGAAGTTCAAACTGAAGCAGTTACAGCCTTTAAGGTGTTTAAAGCCTCAGGAGGGTCCGGTTGCCTGAGACATTTTTGCAGCCCACAGAGATTCTTTAAATTGCAACCCCTATTAATATAGAAAAAAACCCCACAATCCTGGACTTAAAAAAAATATGAATAATTCTCCCTTCTAATATTTGAGTCAGTTGACATATCTATTAGACTCCTACAGAAATAAACTTTTGGTTTTGAAAATTTATCTAGTAGCTGGTTAGAGCTACAGGAAACAATGGCTGCTATAACTACGCACAGTATTCTGCTTCCTATACAGTGGGATGCAATCCAAAGAGCAACTCCGAGACTAAGCAAAAGGAGAGAAAATCTGATGTACTGGTCAGGTGGCTGGATATTGTGTACAACTGCCAAACAAACAGGAAGGAGATAGAAAGAAAGGCATAATTTAAAAATGTTCTTCTATTCAAGACCACATATATATAATTTAAGCAAAAAGTATTGCTTTAAAAGTAAAGGTGTTTGCAGCAGTAGTAGTAGAGGCTTTTTTGTCTTACTGTGTTCCAGTAACGTACTTTAGGTTTCTGGAAATGCCTCTCTCTTTGAACCCAAATGCAGAGCTGCTATTCATTACAGAAAATGCATGCTTAAATACATACCATTTCAAACAGAAAAATAGGAAAACATAAATTCTTGTGTGGCCACCTCTTAGCCACAACAAATCCTCTCCTCTCACACAAAACCGCTCCCTCGCTGCTCTCACTTCCCCTGGTGAGGGCCCTTCTGAATGCCTGGAAACAGCGACCAGAGCCCCGACAGGAGGAATTGGAGCTCCTCATCACGAACGATGTCTGTTAAAGGAAGGAAACTCACTCCTCCTCTAACACAAACCAGTAAGGACATTCTCATCCTTCTCAGCGTCTGTCCCCTGACACCACGGTGCCCAGCTCATCAGACACAGGGCGGCAGGAAACAGGAGTTATCCCAGAATCAACTGGGAGAAACGAGGTGAGAAAACTCCTCCTCTGCCCACCTCTAGAGTTTGGAAAATCATCCTTGTGTCTCAGCTGGCTCCAGGAACAGAGGAACAGGACAATAATTACCTCCAGCTTTCCTGAGAGGCCATATGACAGAATACTGTTAAATCGTTGACTATTACTTCTCAAAGGTATCAAAATGGTAACAACAGCAATGAATAGCACATAAATGGTAACTTGGATGAATGCTACTACTAAACTGAGTTTTGGAGATCTCTCTGTTTAAGCCACATTTTTCAACAATACAGGCCTGTGACTGCTGTCCCTATTAGATTACCCCAACACTATTTCCAAAGTTTATTAAGTTCTGTGTCTTTGAACTGAAAATAAAAATATAACAAATATTTTGTGTTGTGTTTACAGCAGATGCACAACTTCATCCATGAGATCTGATTGATTTTACTTCAGTTAAGCCTTCATCTTCCCTCCTGTCTGCCCACTCCTTCCTCCCCTCCTCCACTTTCCCTGGGCTAATTGGCAGCAGCAAGGCTTCAAAGGAGACAAGCAGCTTTGCTATTTAGGTGTAGCGAGGTTTCAAAGAATAAACAGCTCCTGCTGCTCACTCTTTGAAGCCACACTACAGCCAATTAGCTCAGCGAAAAGAGCACTGAGAAGAAAGTGTGGGACTGGGAATGAAGATTTAATAGAAGAAGAATAAAAATCTCACTCTTTGTGCATCAGCCTTGTCATTGGTTAATTTGACACAATTGCACATGACATGGGATAACTGCCTTTTCTTACGTACCGATTTTTCAATTTCCATGGCCTCAGTTTAAAATGACAATTATAGTTGTTTGTAGTCTATCAAATCAACGCAGAAAGTCTTAGTTTATAGTGTTTATGGTTCATAGATTGGTTGATTAAACAGGTTGCCTCCTTTCCAAGTAAATGTTGCAATAACTTTATGGCGCCCTTCCTCTACCAGCACATCCTGTGTGTGTTTAGTGACTGATGACTGCAAGTATTGAGGACCAGCTTCCACCACCTTACCGGTATCCAAAACCAAGAGATTGCCATCTGAGCTTCAGAGAACGTAAAGCCACCTTGTGCAGAAACGTACTGATTTTAGGATTTTTGCATTTGGTTTGGATGTGCATGTTGAGATTTAAGGAACTATTGAACTAACACACCAGATAGTATTAACTGAAGTCAGTGTCCTCACTACAGATCCCAGAAGTTCAGTTTTCCAAATTGTATGCCATTTCTGGAAATGTTAGCCTCAGCTTGTTTTCACAGGGCTAGCTCTTCTCCAAGAACCTCAAATCATTTGCCAACAGATGCTTCTCATATGACACATTTCTATCAGTGTCCTTGATGTGATGAGCAGTGAACAGGAGGAGAAATGCCTCCAACCCATCTCCAGGGAGATGGAGCTGACAGCAAGAAAAAGAGTTAGTAAACACATAGTAAATGAACTGCAAACCCACAGAGAGAGACAGAACAGCCTGGCATTCATCACCACTGCTACACATAGTGTGACCACTTTATTTCCATGCTCTCCAGCCCTTATCCTGAAAGAAATGTAAGAAGGTGAGGTGACCCAGTCTAACAGCATTCTGGCATGTTCCCTTTAGTGTTACCTTGCTGACAAGTTTTAAAGAAGATGGCATTCTGAGGGGTCTGGAGAATAATATTGCCTTCTGAATTCATTATGATCACATTCACTTCAAATGCAGCAACTCCATCTTGTTTTCCAAGGCAAGGAAATCCAACCTGAACAACTTAAAGGAGAATAATAATAATATTTATATTTACATGCATATATACTTTATACACAGAAAACCATGTCTCGAAATAACTAAAAAAGAAAAGTAGATAATATTTATATTTAAGCTTTAGAGTAATGCCATTGATGAAAACCTGTAGCACAGAGATATACAGATCATGTTATTCATAGGCGGCTTCAGGACTGAAAGTAGAGAAGCTCAGGAGATGATCCAGTCATTTACTGACGTAACACCAACAATCTACAACACAGACAGCAATCTTAACACAAACACACTTTTGGTTGCAGAGGGGCAATTACTCATACAGAGGTACCCCAGGATACAGCCAAACAAGCTGGAAGCCATTTAATTTTCTAATCTGAGTTGACCATTTCTGAGTCCAGATTTTGCAGGCTCTCATACGAATTCTGCAAAAATACCTTACACATTTTGGAAAAAAAAAAAAGATACTTTAGATAGGTTTTGCATATTTGGATATTGCATTTAATACTTAAATAAGATAGTGATTTAATCAAAACTTACTCCATGAAGTGCTGACTAAATTGCACACTTCACAAATACGATCATGGGTGCAAATATTTAAAAAACCCACATAGATGCACCACCCTGACAGAACTTAAGTATAGTGATATTTGCAGATTGCCTTTCCAGGAAAAGTATTCAAACACTTTTGAAATACAAAGAGTCTAAGTAAATAATTAAGGCCAGTAAATCTGGAGTATTTTAATGAGGAAGAAAGCCCAGTACTTCAGAGCTCTGGAATGCTCCTCTGTGATTGTCACAAGTGATCTTAAATCATCTTCAGATGAAACAATTTTATCTCTTTTCTTCAAAACTGGTTCTTCCTAGCTGCTTTATAAGTTAGATCTGGCTAATCGAAATTGTTTATTTGCTTCTTCCGAAGCTGGCCTGAGATTTCAGAACCAAATACTGCGCTAACAGTCCTACATTTGGTTTGTTTTAAATTGCTTGTTATAAAAAATTTTGCAAGTCGTAATTGGGCCATTTTTGTTATTTTTTTGCCTTGGTAAAATACAGAATAATTTATCACTGAAACACATTCTGCTTCTAGTAAGTCCTACAGACTGAAAGGTTTGTTGCAGTGTTCATCATAAAGCAATTTTATTGTTGAAGCACTTTTACAACAATCTTTAAAAGACTATTTCAAAAAGCATGTGACCATGTGGTAAGAAGGAAACTCTTTCAGCGGATTAAATACAGTTTGAATGCAGTGAACTTCTTAAACTGTAGTAACCTTCTTACAGCATAAGTGCAGGAAATAAGTGCTTGCATTGGGACATGTGTGACTTAGCTGAGCAAACTGCAGTGGGGGGGAAGACACGGCAGAAGTTTAATGACAGCTCTGTAGTCATATCTAGACCCTACAATTGATAGCAAACCCCTGAACTCCCCTGGGTTTAAATGCCTAAGGCAAAGACCGAGAATACATCTCTTACGGGTAAGGTCTGAGTGGGCAGGTCAGAAACTCCCCACCCTAGAAGCATCCATATTTTTGGACTTCCCATATGTCCGAACTCGTAGGCACACTGAAATGCAGTGAAGGACCCTCCTGTGAGCAATAAACACCCGGATTCTAGCTGAACTCCGTTCAGAGCTGAAATAAAGTCTCTCAAAAATGTGCCTGAATCCCTTAATTTTTACGCCTGTTTGAATAATGTTAAGCATGCACCAACAGCACCACAGTCAAAACCAAGTTCCTTCCATCCAGAGCCACGGCCATGGGCTACTGAAGTGCTCAACAGGGCTGTGGCACGGCAAACCTCAGGTCTGGTCCTTCCTTCCCGAATTCAGGATGCAGTTTACATTTGCCTACCACTGGCTAAAACTGAGGGGAGGGGATCACAGCTCAGGACTAGCCGTTTTCCCACCACCAGGCCTCAGAATTGCTTCTCTGGTACATTTATATTTCTGTGTCCTCCAGAGTGCTTCTACCCAGGGCTGCAGAGCAGGGAAATTAATTTGAAAGAGAACCTAAGGAAACCTAGTGATTTATATCTAATTTAATTTTAGTTTGTAATTAAAAAGCTCTCCAGGGATGTAGAGGATGCAGGTTTAATCTCCTTTTCGTGGGAGCTCTTTTCCTTCTGTTCCAGAAACCGAGGTTCCCTAAATTGTCTCCACTGCCATAGCAACAATGCTCGGTTCTGTTTTGAACTTGCTGACCCCAGTTTGAACCAATAGATCTTCATACGCTTTGCCCTGCGAAATGAGTAGCCAGCATCTTCTCACTGGACAGGTATCCACGTTCCTTTCAAACATCTTTCGGACAAAGTGAGTACTCTTAGCTTCTTAAGTTCTCACTGAAAGGCATCTTCCCCTGCCTTCTTAACATCTTGCCATGTGCCTAGGTGTAATGATATCTGTGTTGTGAGCACTGAATCAGGTAACAAACTTGGGATTTGGGGACGGAACCCAAGTGATTAAATCTAATTTAAATTTGAGGAGAATCTGATCATTCAACCTCATTAAGGATTAGAGAAACCTGAGAGAAAGACAACAAGATACTTCATCCAACGAGGAGCAATTCAGTAGGTCACAAATCTTTAGTGTGGCAAAGAGAAAAATTAGGGGAGACATACTAGACATCTAGAAAATCAAGACACAGATAGGACTGACAGTATGAAGATTACTGTCTCTGCCAGTACAAGAGCTAGGGCCCATCAGATGAAGCTGCTGCAGCCAGACTTGAAACAACAGGAGAGGAATCTTCATGAAATGGGAGGCAATGAAATCCTTGCCAAAATGATTGGAGATACCAGAAGATACGTACTCAAGGAGAGCCTGGGCAGGTGCTGGAAAGAGAAATCTGTAACCCATGTGGGTTATAAAAAAGACAAATCACCAAAGATTCCAGAAATTCTGAAAGCTGAAGCTAGTCAGAGCGAGAAGGTAAGGAGAAGTATCACATATGCTTGCCCTCCTTTTCCTCTTCCACAGGTCTTATGGCCACCGTTGACCGTAAGGCAAAAATACAGGCTAGAGAGGCACTAAAGCCATTCTTACCTTTTATTGGTGGTAGGTAAATATCCTTAAAGAAGTTTTGAAAGTCCACTGATTTTGACAAGACCAGTGTCTAAACCGTCACACTGAACATCATTCAATGGGTTCAGCTACCACTCTGTAATATATCTGTTAATCCTCTTTCTTGTTTTCCACTCTCATGTTTAAAACAGCTGTCTTCCCTCTTCTATTCCTCCTTAATTGTCTTTAGAGTAATCTCTTAGCCTAAAAAGCTTTTTCAAAAAATGGATTGCTACTGTTGATTTGTTACTGAATACAAGCCTGTGACTGAACTTCTTCTGACATGCATATGTGTAGAAAATTCTTTTAGTAATGCAATAGATTGAGCCAAACTAGACTAGGTTTGTCAGAAGTGTCCAGTGAATATATAAATTATAGAAATAATTACAAATTAGCAAACATTCACTACTTTTATAGCATACATTTACTTAAGGCTACTTAGTCAATTTTGGCCAGCTATCAGGCAGTGTAAATAAAACCACCATCATGCTAGTGGCTCACTGCTAAACAGTGCACATGTTTCAAATACTGTACGTGTGCTGATTATCAATCACTGGTAAACACTGGACTCACTGTAATGCCAAATGACACTTAAATACAGCTTATATATACTAAGCGCAGCGGTGCACTGCACATGATCCCTGTAAGGAAACACCATGGACATGCCCATGTGAGTCCTGGAACTGAGATACCAGCGCTGCAAACAGCACTGGTAGGTCCTTTTTGGCTTTAAGTAGGTCTCACATCATGATGGTTAATAGACATTCTGCTGGAACTATGAGATCTCATCTCCGGCCTCCCTGCACTTGTAGATTATGTTTTCCTAAAATAGTCAGAAGGCGGTCATTTTGGTCTAGCTTTTCTAGACAGTTAAAAATTAAAGGAGAAATTAGCTTATATTAGAGGATGCTGAGTGCAGAGCTTCCCATGTATTTCACTTGCCTTGTATGGAGATGGAAATAATGTTTAAAAAGAACTTTGCCTTTGCGACTTTTTAGTTACTTCTAAGTGCCTTTACTTGCCAATTTATCTGGCTTGCAACCAAATACATTGCAGCAATTACGGTACAAATATTATAGCACTCTTCAACCAAATCCATTTTCAGTGCCACTCATTTAATCCATACTGAGTGGACAGATTAATCATCTATGTTGAATCCCAGGGCTGCAACACTACTTCAATTCCATTCTACCAAAACCAGAGGATATCAAACACAAACTTCCAGAATTTATACACTGAAAAAGAAGATAAAGAAAGACTGGTCACAGATTTAAACCTGTGTACCAGTGCTTCACTTGCAGCCCCATCCTCCTGTTCCATTTGTCATTTCTTTCCCATTTTATCCCATTTGGTCTTAGGCTGGCTGAGGCTGATCATGAAACTATGATCACTACGACATGACTGTCATCCAGTAGTACATTTCTGCCTTTCTGCCAGAGAACACCATGTGCTAGCCCTGGAACAAATCACAGAAACTGTTACGCATCCACTTAGAGAAAAGTGGACTTGATAACCTCTCACAGAAAATTTTTCACTCCACTCAGCTTACTGTGCACCACGATGCTTCTGGAACACTCGTGTTGGCTCAGGCTCTGCCTCTGCTCGGCAGTGAAGGACTGAGAATGCACAACTAAGGGAAAAGTGGTAAATGACAACATCTAAAGTAGAACCTGTTTCTCTGAGCTGAATGCCTGACAACAGCTGACCCTAACTGAAAGCAAAATGTTCACTGACTGCAACAGCATCATTTGGTAATTATTCCTTATAGTGAGTGAGCAAAGATTTTGTTTTCAAAAGTCACACAACTTAAGTAATAATATTCATGCACGTGTATTTTATGCAACAATTTTGCACCAGTTTCTGCTGATTTATCAACGTATAAAAGCTTCATGTGACTTGGCTCAGACAAAATATGCTGCTGTAGTCAGGAAAGGCACTCACAAATTGTGCATTGTCAAGTACCGTGGCAAGCATTTCTTTAGCAATAGACTTCAGAACTGCAACTCATAGTGAAATATTTAGACTTTACTGGCTGTGGAATGTTTGTACAGGAACATAGTTTATAATACCAACAGCACAAACCTGATGCTTTATGAGGAACTGTTCCAAGCAGAGGGATATTTATAGTTGGATCAGCCATTATGCCTTTATCCAAAGACCGCAAAGACAGGAACTCGTAGAAGTACTCAGCCTATGACAAAACAGATGAAAAATTGATATGTATTTTAATTGCATTCACAGAAGGAAACTCTTTGGTATATAAACTACAGCAGAAAAATACTACACTCTTCGTTATGTCATTCACTGGATTTGTTCCTATTATTTCCCCAAGTGATTCCTCACCTAAGCATAATTTTCAGACAATTTCTTCTGATTTCAGAGATTGCAAGTGACCACACAGTAATCAGGATGCAGCATAATGACATACATGCAGTGAAGAAAGCTTACAGAGAGAAGACTTTTTTTACAACCCACACCTTTTATCTGCGAGTCTACAAAAAATATATGAATGGTATGCTAATTCTTAAAGCTGTTTTGTGGGGCAGAATCCTCCTGGAACTGCCTGGTGAGCCTGGATGAACTGCCTGCACCATGAGTGCAGTTTAAAGGACAGTCCCACACGCACGATACAAACTGTGGTGTGAGAATATCTGAGTTTGCTGTGAGCTGATCTGCACAGAATGGCATGGTCTTTTACTCTGACACATACAAGGGATCACAGGTAACTGTACATGCTGCTCTCAGAAAAGCACTTGAGACTTTAGGATGGGCACTGGCAAAAAAGTGTCTTCATCCAGCAACTCATTTACAGTATTGTTAGGCCTGCTTTTTAGCTAAAACAGTGAAACAGAGACCAAAGCCAAAATTTTATGAGAGCTCTGGATTGATAAATGGTAGTTAATCTATGTTTAGTTAATTTATGTTAATTTATGGCTACAAGGTGGCAGTCAATGTGCTTAGTCAGAAGACTGTCTTCTAGTACCAGATGTGGAGATACTGGAGTGACAGGGTCGCAAAAGTGATCAAGGGACTGGAGTGTTCGACATAAAGGGAGAGGCTGAGACCATTCAGACTGGAAGGGGGAATCTAATAAATAGCTGATAGGGCATGTAAAGGAGATGGAGTCAGGGTCTGCTTGGCGGTGCCCAGCGACAGGACAGGAGACAAGAGGCACAATACAGAAAACTCTGTTTGAACCTGGGAAAAGACCTCTTCATGAGTAGGTGACTGAGCACTGGCACAGGTTGCCCAGAAAGGTTATGGTCTCAGATCAGCCTCAGCCCTTCTGTTGCTGTGCTCTGCTAACCTGAGCAGAAACCTCGGCAGTATGTGAGAGATCATCTCCTTTTAGTTCCTGGTGACACCAGCAAAGCATTCATGAGCTGGATAGAAAGATTGTTGCAAAATTCCTCATGAGCACTGGCAGCACATCCACTCAATCTAGGTGAGAGCAAGGAGACCCCAGACAGCATGCTGGGGCTACGCTCCACACAGACAATCTTCAGAGGGTGTTGTGTGGGCACAGAGACCTCAGAGAAGGGCTCGCAAAACAATAGCGAAGGCAGCGATGATATTTTTAAGGGTGGGTTAAACACATGGAGTATGTGTAAGAGGGAGAGGGGACATGGAGAGAAGCAGTAAAACAGAAGATGAAAACTGAAGTCTGGGGTAATGTTCAAAAGGCTGCTTTTAATTAAAGACATTTTTTTCCAATACAATATACCAGGCCAAAATATGAAAACAAGCCATAAAGTCAGATTGTGAACATTTTTGTTTTCAAATAAAACTTTGGTTCAGAAAAATAATTATATGTCTCCACACATCTGTAGAATAGTACAGTGAGTCAGTCAATGCTGCACTGTCTGTTTCTCATTGGTTAGCTTTGATGTTTAGTTATATCTAAACCAGGTCATAACAGGTTGGGATATTAAAACATTATGTTCTAACTATTCTAGTAAACAACAACTGGTAACTAGATCAAACAACTCCACTCCCATATTTCCATTCCAGCCACTCTGTTGTAGCAGGTCAGCTTGTGAGCCAGAGACCTGATTTGTAGGAAAGGAACTGGAATCCCATCTTCTAGAGTTGAAATGATGCCTAAGGACAAAGACAAAAATAAAGTTTGCTGTGGGAAAAGGGGCTGATTGCTGCATGAGCCACAATACTCACTGCCTTTCAAGGAAGGAATTCCTCTAAGTAGAGTAAAGGCGTAGCAATAATTAGCGCCTGAGGCAGGAGTATGCTCTGCTCACACATTAAAAAGATGGGAAGAGACATTGCACAAGCAACAGGCTGCTTAGGAGGAAAGCCACGCATTGCACTGGGCGGGGGGAGATAGCTGCTCTGACCATTTCTGTACAAAGGCTTGTACATCTCCTGAGTTGACAAAAACTGAACTTCTTGAAGTGATAGTATCTAAGAAGACCTGAAACACCTCAGGTAGATCTAGTTAGCATGACTTCAAGGCTACGAAGCCATGTGCTGCAGAGTATGTTTGCAAATCACATGTGCTGGACTGAGTTGGTTAAATTTTGATGTAAAAATGATATACAAAAATCACAGTCTAGAAGAGGCTGAAGAGTAGGGCAGAGTAGTTTAACTCCTTCAACCTGAGAATACGAAACAAGATTTGGCTGCCATAAATCCTATCTATTTGGAAAAAATCTGTCTTGACACGATCTCTACATCCAGTCTCCGGTATTGTCCCGCTGTAATTTGAGTTGATTGCCAATTACCTTGCATTAATCATCATGACTGAAAAGCAAACAACATGCTCTCAGCAAATATTTACCACGCTCCAGCCTAGCATGAAATTTAGTCATGGTGGTTAATTGAAGAGATAGGTCTGTGCAATTAAAATGTTGTTTAGTGACTACCATAATTTGTGCTGTAAGTGGTCATTGTGAGTGACCTGGGAGGGAAAAAAAGAGAATTCTCAGATATTGTTGAGAAATAAAGGGGAAAACCTCATAATCTATAAACACCTTTTCCATTACAAAAACATTGTTGTGATTTTTTTTTTTTTAAGCCAGCCTGTGAACTGCTATGTGAGGGGCAAAATTTGGTACTGAAGCTAAATCTTAGAGGAACAGTCTTATCAGAGGAGATGGAGGAAATGGGGTTTGAGATAAATTATTAATCTTTGACAATTGCACACTCTGCAAGCGCTGAAGGCTTTTTGGTCTTGGCTTGACTTCAGGAAGTGCCGAAGGAAAAATATGCTTTAATTTTGTGTAAAGACTTTGTTGGAAACCCTCAGAAACTGAGGCAAGGTCCCCTGCAGACCTTCTGTGAAACTATGGGGACTCGGTGCCTTCAGGCAGCAGGTAGCCCCACGCAGCTGCCCTTTAACACTTCCCCATGTGGCCAAAGACCTCAGCAAAGGGAGGAAATTTCGTTTCAGGCAAATAATTCCACGGTTGGGATTAACTTTTATGGACTTTAAATGGCTGTTTTCTATAAATCAGAGGAATTTAAAAGGTTATAAAAATAACGAAGCCCTCTAACAAGTATTGTAGCAAACATCTGTCAGCAGTTTGGTTTTAAATGATATACACTTAAAATTCCTACAGAACTCCTCTCCTCAGTACAAGATCTACTGCTTTAGACTTTTCTTAGCACTCAGATGCCATGTTGTGCCTACCTTGGTTTTGTTTCATATTTATTCAAAGCATGCACTGGAATGTTTTCTTTATTCTACATGAAAGATACAGCATTCTGGCTACGCACACACTAGAATATTCTAGCATGCATTATCCACAGCAGATGCTCACAGCTGCATATACCATAATTAAAATCACAAAGTGAGGCAACGTATGTGTTTGTTAGGTGTTTAGAGCATGGACCACTGCTTCTCCAAGATATTAACTGCATTAGGTCAGAGAAGTTGGTCCATCCATGTTCCAAGATGAAGCATGAAGCAAAATGAGATGAATTTCAAGAAAGAGGGGAGGCCACAGCTGTACTGCGTGTACCAAGCTATCGAAAGTGTCTGGCCAGAGTATGAATATGTATGTCAGCAGCACATTTTGTTACTGCAGTGCAGTCTAGACACTGCTGTAATGAACTACAGAAAGATGCTTCTTTAGACAATAAATTGCAAGGTTTTATTTTTCTGCTAGGGAATGCAGCTTTGCTTTACCTGTTAATTGGTCCTGTCACAGAGTGGGCTAAGCATTTTTTGCACATCAGTGTGACCCTCAAAGAGACTTGCCATCAGCCTCAGGAAGTAGTCCCAAAATGGGAGGCATACTTAACAGCATGACGCAATACAGAAGTACACTCTGAGAAAATCAGTTTATACAGGCGACAGGATAACCTGCCTGTTTTCCAGTACTGTCTGTACAGGAATGAACTGAAGCAGTAGGATAAACAAAAGGAAAAGTAAAGATATTTCTAAAAAAGAAGCACCCAAATTAGAATTCAGCAAAACTGGCAATCTCAAAGAAAAATAAATTATGTGACAGTGTTAATTAGACAATGCCACGGTGAAATGCACACAACTCTGCAGAGTCCATTTCATGCCTGCTTTCTTCATGTTATGAAAACTGTGGCAGACTGAAAAAAATTCATGCACAAGGAGGAAGACTTTTTTAACAATGTAGTGAATCCCTGCATGTGTCTTTCAACAATAGCTACTTGTGGTTTTAATGGTTTTAGAAGAAGAATGGTACCAAAGCTCTGATTTTGTCAGCAGAAGATGACTGACTGGTGTTTAATCTTTCCTGTGGCATGTGACTGTGGATGGCAGATCAGGTCCTCCAACAAAATGATTCAGAAAGATGGTTGCTATCTTGGTTGCTATCAAGAGTAGCCCCAGATTTTGAAAGGTGACACTGCAGGCTTCCAGGAACATCCTGCACAGGACAGATGGTCAGGAAATTTTGCAGAATACTTTAGCCCTTCCTCCAATTAATAAGAAAAGAATTTCTGTAAAGATAACAGAAAAGAAATCACTGTCAAGGTGGCCTTGGCGAGGCCACAAAGTGATGGATTTAGATTACATATAGCAACCGAGTTTCGGGTAGTTGTCTGCTCTGTGGGAGACGTGGGGAACAGAGCAGCTACTTGATCATTTTGAGCTGATATTTTCTCTCATAAAACCTTGAGCTCCAGAAGCGCTCTAGCATTTGAAGAGGTCATTTGAAACCAACCCAAGACTGGCAGCTAAGGGGCTTTGCAG